AGGAAAGACAGAACAGGAGCTGAGTCAAGAGTCTGAGAGAGTGGTCATTTGAAACAGAAGGTCAGGAAGCCAGAAATCCAAACAGGAGCGAGGTCTGAGAGCAAGAGCCGAGGGTGGGTGCAAGGTTGGCACAGATGTGACTCATTGCTTCCACAGAGAGCCCACTTCTGAGCAGGAGCTATATAGGCCTCTGGCTGTGCTTCCCTGAGTGGCAGAGCTGCTCCTGTTAGTACTCCTGTTAGATGAGAACATTCCACTATTGAACTGTTAGCAGGCTGTGCTGTAGTGACTGAGGAGTATATGTTCTTTACTGATGTAATTGTAAGTGCATCATCCCGGATGGGAGACCAGGAGGTTAGCATCAAGGTTTCTCCTGAGGGAGACTGAAAAAGCTTTTGCATTGTTTCATTCAATACAAAACTACTTTTTCTGTAATAGCGACTGAAAAAGAACACTTAAGAAACAAGGGAGTTATACCGGGACCTTGTATCGCTGTTACCGGCTACTATTTATGTCTTTCTCCACATTGTTGTTGTTTTTTCCTGCTTACTGTGATTGTTATGTCTGTATGCACTGTTTGGTCTTTTGGGCAACTGGAACCTTGTTGTCTTTGTGTGATACTTATGTGCATTTACTATAGTGTTGTACTGTTCATAATATAGTTTCTGTTGTTAAATTCATATTGTGTACTTGCATATTAGTTTAGAGTCTTTGGAAGGCAACCCACTTTCGGAGTTTTATATAATTGGTTACAGTACTCTGGGTTCGGCACTCGCCTTTCCCTGCCAATGTGTGTCTCGGCAGCAGGTTGCTAAGTCCTTGTGGAGCCGCTCCCTCAGCTGAGCCACCTGCAGAGGTGAATCCGGCGGTCTTTCCGTTTGCACCTGTGCCTCATCGGCTGCTGCAAGATGAAGTGTGGGGGTTTCTGACTCGGGCGCTGGTGACAGCAAGCTATCAACTCCTGAGGAGTCAGAGGGGCCAGCTTCCAGTTCTGGTGATGCTGGCGACTCCAGCTGTGCTGCCATCTGGGCCAGGGCCTGGCGCCATCATTGTCGCCCATGACAAGGGCATATTCAGGACTGCTGTGAACTACTTGAGTGGTGCCAGGACTCGGGAGTCAATGCTGTCCAACTTGGTGTACCCAATAAAGACAAGAGCAGCTGCTGAGGACTATACGTTTTTATTGTTACAGACCCTCAACCCAGCTCAGCCTGCTGCAGGCCTCCTCATTGCAGGTACTACACCAACCTGCCCCAGTCCAAAACCGCCATTATATTTATATACATTTCTATATAATCCAACAGAAGCACCTATCTGGAAGAAGAGGAAAAATACAACAACAACAACAGCAGCAGAACCCTTCATAAACTGGAATGATGTCTATGTGTCAGAACCCACAGCTAACAACGAAGTACACGCATTCAGGAACGGTTATAATTCTATTGCAAAGCTATAGATGCAGTAACACAGGCACAGCCAGTAGAGCATAATAGGATATAGGGTATTCGTATGCACACACACACCCATGGCATTGGCCAATTAGGCACCCTCCCGCACACAAGATAAGTCAGGCAACCGTTAGGTGGCTAAAGCTGAGAACTCGGAGTCTCTCACAGTACATAGGAGCTCTCCAGACAACACACCCTCCTCCTGCACATCTGTAGAGATAAGCGTTTCAGCAAAGGCATAACAGCAGGGATAGGAATGCAACAGCAATTAACAAGACACAGAATGAACTCCCCAACCCCCATGGCAGCATAGCTGACACTATGTTTGCACATGAAAGCTTTACTGAATTCTGAAGAGCCAACTACAGACCTCCAAGAAATGCAACAACTGAGAAGGCATGTAGTAAGTTCTCTTCCAGTATCTTGCCAACATCCCAGTATCTACAGCAAGACTAAGGGCTGCCCTCCGCTCTATTCTCAGCTACTCTACAGTAAGTGCACAGTATGGACTCCTAAAATAGTTGATTCTAGCCTGTTTACTGATTGTGGTAAGATGGTAGGATTGCCTACTTCACAGTGGGTCATGGTATTCTCTTTGACTTACAACTGACCTCTGTACAACAAGAGATCATTTCCCCTGGAGGAAAGGGCAGCTTCAGAGGGTGGACTCTATGGAATCACATTCTCTACTGAGCTCCATCCCTAAACTCTATCCTCCCCATGCACCACACCTAAATCTTCACAAATGTCCCAAGATGGAGTCGAGAATTCTATAAAATGGATTAGACACAATCCAATCAAAGTCAAGCACTTGGAGATACCATTAATTTCAACAAAAGCACCTATAAGAACAGATCACATTATCTTCATAAAAGCAGAATTGCAGTATGTGTCTGCACAGCTCACATGTTAACAGAACTGCACCTTGACCTCATCTGTTAGAGTAAACATTTTTTAAAGTTCAAAATTCAGTCCTTGATATTTCTGTAAACCCCAGGAAATCACTGCCATGTAGAAGACCTCTACCTGTTTTGCTATAGTGAAATCAAGTATTATATTTTCATAATTTTTAGTAAGAAAATTTAAATTTCTAGCTGGATTTCTATTTGTTCTTAGCTAGATAAAGTAATGGATCTAGGGTTCACTTTGAAAAATAGTATTTCTCTAAAGCAAGCTGTGAAGAGAAGAATGTAACCCTGAATTATATTAATTTCCTTTTATTGCAGGGTTCTCCAAAGCCCTGAACCATACAAACTGAAAACCACATTGAGCTTCTCTTGTGGATTTTTTTTTTTAAAATCCAGAATCTAAAGAAGTGAAACCTATCTGCCAAGTTCAGCCCACATATGAAGAATTTTTGTCTAAGCCTACAAGTCACGTTGTATAACAACCCATGTTTTTCCAAGTAGTCTCCATTGGCCTCCAGCGGGTCACCGCATGCTATTGCTCATAGTTTCCCAGGCTCTTCTGGCCAACCAAAGAAAACAAAGGCTGCAAGCGACAACAGAGAACATTTGGGCTCCTCTTCAGAAGACACACATCGCACAATTCACATCTTCTGCAGCACTCAAACTGATTTAAATAAAATTACGAATAGTATAAAGCAATGCATTACAGTCTTCCGTGCCAGTGTTTTAAAACAACAACACACAAGTCTTCCACTGAATTGGAGAGGCCAGTTTTCAAGTGATATTCTGAAGATCCAGATATAAATTCCGGCTGAGGAAAAAAAATTAGGGGACTAATCATAACATTAGGTTGTCTTCCTGCTCTCCCATTTTTCCCCACAGACAACTACTTAATGTAAGCCTTTTTCCATCTGAACCTGCCCTCTTTGATACCCCTGTATCATTTAAAGGATAACAAGGTTGAAAATTCAGCATGCAGCCTTCTCATCTGATGCTCATTTTACTGGCGTAAAAACAGTCCCATAAAAATTTGCTAATTTGGAAAGTTAAGCTCAACTTGAATATACTGCCGGCAAGCAAAAGGAACTCCATACTTTTGCAGCATCTCATTTAAACTGGCACACTACAGATGCAATCCTTCCATGTGTTGCCATGTTAGCATGTCTGCACAATGCCTGCCCAGGATACAGATGTCTGGACATGCTAATGTCACACACCTAGTGGCTGAGGGACCACTGTAAATGAGACACTGGGTACCCATCATACCACATGGATAAGTTCCTCTTTCCCAGATGTACCACATTTAAATCAGCCCTATCTCCTTTTTGTTCAAAAATACTCAATTTGGCTTATAACAAAAAGCAATTGAAGTTATATAACAACAGGAATAAATACAAGGCAACAGTACATCAGCACATCAACACCATCCATAAAACAGTACAAGACTGCAGCAGCAAAGGCCCACAAGGAAGACTTGAGGGGATGGTTCCAACCACACCCCTCAGTGAGCAAGGGAGGGAGGGAATCTTTTAGCCTCTAGCACGGAGAGACAAACTATAAGTGACAGTGTCCACAGGTCCATCCCGTGACCACTGATGCCATTTTAAAAGTTTCTGTAGTTCTTTAAAACAAAAAAAACACCTTACTACGAGGTCTTGATCCAAATCCAGCACATGGCATAGTGCCTCCAGAAACTCTTGTGTCCCACCCCCGTGCCTTTTCAGGAGCTGAAACAGCACCATCCATCGCTTTTGCATGACATGTAAATGCACAGGGAGGACAATTCTCTCCTGAGTTGGTGAGACACAGACAGATTCTGGGCCAGTGGTGGGGTTGCCAGCAATGTTCCCTCTAAGCTGTGGAGTCTTGTGAGCAAAAATTCTACTTTGTGAGCCACTGGCATTAAAGTTGTGAGTGAGCAATTTGGCTGCTGCATAAATCAGTCTGCTCTGGAGTCGTCCTTCCTGAGCAAAGACAAAAATGTGTGAGACAGAGGCTAAAAAACTGTGAGCTAGCTCACACTAACACAGCTTAGAGGGAACACTGGTTGCCAGTCCTTACCTTCTTCCAGCAGGGGGATTGGGGGGTGATTCGGGGATGGGCAGGGATGTCGATGTGATCAGATCGGTGACATCAGGGCAATGCTCTGCTTTTGGGGCAAAACTCTATGGTAAAAACGGCTACAAACCATAGTGTTTTGCCCGAAAAGGAAAGTGTCGCCCCTAACGTCGCCAACATGATGACATCACTTCCGGAAGTGACATCATCACATCGCTGGCGTCATCTGGGGACATCTTTTGGGAAGCAGGGTTTCCCCCACCAGCCAGCTGGCCGGCAGTGGGCCGGAGCCCACAAAAGCAGGGGATCCCCTCCCCTGCCTGGGGCTGGCAAGTCTAGCCAGTGGAAGATAAATAGCTGTAGAGCATGCAAGCACCATGCCCTTTGCGAGGTGCGTCCATGCCACCGTTCTGAAGAACTGTGTTCATAGCTCCTGTCTCCAGACATTTTACCTTGATCAAGTTTAAACAATAAACGAGTCCCCTCTTAGATTACATAAACTAGTTTCTCAATTTCTCTGTGTAAGTGGGTATATTTATTTCCAAGGGAAACAATTTTTTTTAAGAAATCATAGCACAATTCTTACCTGTGAAAGCATTTGTGGCCTGAAAGCCAGCTTCCTGCATACTGCTGTCCCAGTAAAGCTTATGATCCAGTCTTAAGCTGTCCTTTCCAGATGAAACTTCTAGGCTTGAAGTTGTCAAGTTACTTCCATCTTAGCTTGCCAGTGTCCATTTCTTCCCCACAATCCAGCATCTGGCATGTACCCATTCCCACTTGTTACCAGGTCCTCTGAGTCCCAGGTAAAAGGGATATGTTGAGCTCGAATGGCAAATGCAGACCTGGTGCCTCAGCCGTCCTGCCAGAGAACTGTCGCCATGGTTTCCACTTAAAGGAAAGAAGTCATTCCATACAGATGTTCTTTCCCCTTCAAAATCTAGTTCTAATCCTATGTTCAGACAGCATCATTGGCTTTTGCTTGGTCCCTTCTTTCAAATTCAGCCAGTGGTGGTCTTCCCTTGTGTTCTGTGTTCTTTGGGCTCTCAGGCAAACTGAGAAATTAAAAAAAATATAAATAAGAGATTACGTTTCTTGATAATTTATACCCAGATTTACAAAATACAGGGAATAACTCAGCACATGGGCAGACACATGCCCCATTCAGAAGGGACTAAATGTGTACGTTAAAAAAGGGTCTTTAGAAGGAAGATGCTCCAATTCTGCTGAGACACAAAGTGTGACCACACAAACCTTTGAAGTGCAAAGAGCGATAGCGTTGAAGATGTCAATATGTATCTCTGAATACAGTGTGATTTACATTTCAAAAGCCAAATTTAGTAAAGATGGGGACAGAAATACAGTAGCTAGATTGCAGTTAAAAGGGAAAAATCAAAACACTCAAAGCCTCAAATCTAATCTATAATTATCATTTTATCAGGTCTCATATCATTACCATTTTAGAAGGCTCTCCAGGAAGCTAACTACTAGACATACTGTGCGCTTCCAAGCTGCTGCAGGGACAGGGACAGGGGAAATGGCTGCCATGTGAGCAGGGGTAGGAAATTCAAACTTTCCCACCCACACAACAGCCATCCAGGCACTGATGTGATCTTTAAACTTTGCAGCAAAGCTGATTTGGGAAAGACTGAAGAAAAGTCAGGGGAGAGCTGAGAAGTGACCCACCACAGTGCTGTGGGGAAGCAAGGAAAAAACCTCAACAGCATCATACCCAATGAAATCAGTCCATAATAACAAGTCTACCTACGGGGAAAGCCATGTGGGACAGAAGAGAGATTATTGTCCTTTTTTGAAACAACTATGAGAATGTTATTGGGCATTTTCCAACATTATACGTGTGCACCTGGTTGGTGTCACTTCTTTGGAACTATTGCTCCTTTGAACAGGACTGGTTAAAAAAAAACCCTGGAGCTAGAGTATGATCCTCGGATGGGAGTTTATGGACTTTCTGAACAGCTGTTATGTGACAAATATGAATGTTTCTCATTTCCTCAAGGCAGCACTTGTGTTGTGAGGATATCTCGTTTTCTCAGTGATCATATCATAGTATCTAAAAAATGAGATGCTTCCTTTACATAGCAAATTAATTTGCTACTTCAATAAATTTGTAGAATGTATTGATCCAGAGTACTTCCAAAGAAAGACTATAGAACATTCTATGAATCAAAACTAGAAATCAGACTTTGGTTTTACAAACAGAGACAGAAAAATAAATAACTCTCAGACAGCAACACCCAGGAAAGCCATTTAATCTAAAACAAGCACATCTGAAAGGGTCATAAGTAACAACCCCGAGATCATTGATTGCCCCCCCAGTCGGAATAACGAGACAGACAACAGTTTGTAAGTAAACAAGGGCCACTTTATTAACTACTTAACATAACATTGTGGCAAGGGACCATCTAAGCGAGCAAGGAACAGGCAAGGCAGGTGTGACTCCCCTGACCAACCTCCTTGCCCTTTTCTTGGACGGGTCACCCAGCTCCGGTCTTGAGCTAACCATCTGGCTCGCAACCGGCAGCCCAGCAAAACTGGTTGCCACCTAGGAATGCCTACCCCTGAAGCATCGTGGCTTGCTCTGTTGCTGCCCCGGTTTCCTCCGGGGCAGCAAAACAGCCCCCGGGCGTCCAGCGGCGTCACCGGGGGGCCGGGAGCTCTATTCCCAACATGGCACATATGAGTGTCGTGGTGCTTACCATGTTTAGTGGTGCCCATTTGCTTAGGGTTACCAGGTCTGGGTTGGAAAAATATCTGGAGATTTTGGGGGTGGAGTCTGGGGAGGGGAGGGCTTGGGGAGGGGAAGGACCTTAGCAGGGTATAATGCCATAGTGTCCACCCTCCAAAGCAGCCATTTTCTCTAGAGGAACTGATCTTGGTTGTCCAGAGATCAGTTGTAATAGCGGAGATCTTAAGGTGCTTAAGAAGAAATTCTACATTTGCTTCTTCTGCAAAACTACTCTTCCTCAAAGTAAAGAGTTAACCCTGGCTTTTCTCAGGGTTACCAATCTCAGGGTGGGACCTGGAGTTCTCCCAAATTACAGCTGATCTCCAGAATACAAACATCTGTTCCCCTGGAGGAAATGGCAGCTTGTGGAGGGCACTCTCTATGGTATCATATCTCCACTGAGCTCCCTCCCGAAACTCCTTTGGCACAACTAAAAGCAAAGTGATTGGTTGTGGAAAGTTCCATGAAGTCACTGCTGATTTATGGTAACTCCATAGAGTTTTCAAGGCAAGATATATTCAGAGGTGGTTTGCCATTGCCAGGGTTTTCTAAAATGACCCTGGTGTTCCTCAGAAGTCTCCTATCCAATCCAATACTAGCCAGGGCCGACCCTGCTTCACTTCTGATATCTAATAATATCAGGCTAGCCTGGTCAGGGCATAAAGTGCTTCTAAAGATTATAAAGTGCAACAAAAGGCTCCGAGGAACCTGCTACATAAAGTGTACTTAGTTGACTTAGTTCAATGGTATTGCTTTTTATTTTGGAATTCAGTGCATTGTATTCTTGTATTTTTCTTCTCCTGTATTTTGGCCTGTCCTTTTCCCACCCCTTTTCAAATCCAACCATCCTTTTCCATTTTTTCTCTCTGTTATAATAAACCTTTTTAATTCTAATAAAGACCTTTTTTTACTTCATTAAGAACAATCTAGTTCCCTAGAGTATTTATGTGAATCTCTCTCCTATGTGCTAGACTGCACAGGTGCTACATAGTTGGTTATAAGGTACTTTCTAGGGTTTCTACTCAGTCACTTCATTATTACTCTAGTACCGTGCCAGGATACCATCTCAGAGGGTCAGTCTAGATTCTCCCAGGAGGTCCCTGAGTGGTGCCGGCTGGTTACCAGGGTGCTTTCAGGGAACTCTTGGCCTAAGGGAGTTTCCCAGCAAGGAAAGACACCATTCCCGCTTCCTACCATAACAATTCAGAACCAGTATGAATTCGAGTGTTGGACTGGGATCTGGGATCTGGGATACCCAGGTTTGAATCCCCGCTCTGCCATGGAAGCTTGCTGGGTGACCTTGGGTCAGTCACACACTCTCAGCCTAACCTACCTCACAGGTTGTTGTGAGGGTAAAATGGAGGGGAGGGGAACAATGTAAGTTGCCTCTGGTCCACACTGGGGAGAAAGGTGCAGTATAAGTAAATAAATATAAAAAACAGACACTCATCCCAGGATTTCAGTAATCAAATCAGAAAGGGGGGGGAGCAAGAGCATAGATATTTTGGGCCCACTAACTGTTTTCAAAATTATTTGATGGCAGGATATAAAGTTTTCTAAAATACTAACAAATACTAGCAGAGCCAAAAGGAAGTAAGTAACCTTCCACAAAACTGTCCATGTTACACTGACCCAAACACTAATGTACAAATAAGATGCCTTTTCACACTGCCACCATCTCTGGCTCATGACCCCCCCCCCTCTTTGTGCTTTACAGGTATGTTTAAAACTGGGGCTAAGAGACATCTGTTAGTAGCTGCTCACAGCTTCTTAGGATGACCTTTGTCTTGCTCTGGCTCTAAAATAACCTGATCCTTCCATGGCTGCTCATTCCATTCTGGTAAAAGTAATAACAGCTATTTTTATCTTTTTATAGAAGAGGGAGACTAATGAATGCCACCTTTTTCACTGCAGATTATTCTCCTGCTCCCTTTTCTATAAGTATATTCCTGTTCTGCAGATAATACCATAAAGGAAAATGCCTGTTGGTCAGATGGTAGAGAAAGTGAGCACACAACTGGAAACAGCCCCTCCAGAGAATCCAACGGACCAAGCAATGCTCCACAGTCCTCTGCAGACACAAAGACATTCTTCACAGGGCATTTTCCAAAACACATTTGGAATTCAAAAATGTTTGAGTCAGCATGACCTAAAGAAAAAATTTAGTTCAGGTCTAACAGTGTCACTGCAATATTAAACTGCCACTGTTACTTGGAACTGCACAAATTCCTTAACTGTATATCAGTAGTAAGTAATTCAGATTTTAAAATGTCCATGACTACCTCATCTTGAGATCACGATCACTCTGGGATTATTCAGAAGACGTCAAACCAATAAAAAGTGTCACCAGAACGTCCTGACCTGACTAAACAGGCAGTAAAGATGCACATTTTGGTGTATACCTCCAAGGGGGTCTTCCACATGACAATGATTCTCTGATATTTCCACATTGCCACTGTAGTACAGCAGCAACAGGACCTCTACATGGTGGGAGCCCTTTTCCTTCCCCAGCACCCTACTGCTGCCACCCCCCACACACTACTACTACTACTACTACTACTACTACCACTAAAGGTCTTTAAGTTTTTCATCATAATTGCATTAGGCATATCACTATTGCATTATAAGGTTAGGGCAATAGGTCAACTACTCGTAAAAATAAAATAAAAACCCCTTCCAATGGTATGGGGGAAGATAGCTGCCAAGAAGGACTGGGTGCCAGTACGTGCCATATACATAGCATCCACCCTGACTTTGCTGCAATCTTTCCAAGCAAGCAAGTTTAGGGAAGTTCACAGAACAGCCAGAAGGTGCACAAATGTAACATAGTCCTGTGTGGAAGCATGGGATAAAGCCCAGTTCACATTAGCACCACCAGACCATAACACCAATGCAGAAGAAACCTAGGCATCCATCCATCAAGGAATGTAGTATATAATATCTGAATTTGTGCTTGGAAGAAATTGAAAATAACTGGAAGCACAATCCTGATGCACAAAGTACAAAGCCAGGCTCTTAGGTTTTAGAGCAGGTTCAGCCTTCCAAATCATAGGAGCAAATATTGTTCACATTTACTGTGCCTACAGGAGGCTTTCAGAAACCAAAGATCAAGGTGGCTCACCAAGCTACATTCCAGTCTCAGACCATAAAGTTCCTAGTCCAGGCTTCAATGTACCTGGCACTGTGGAAGAATATCCAC